TTGGGTCCCACGCCATACAAGGAAACCCAACTGGGCAGCAGTTTGGAAGGCTAAGTGAGCACATATCCTTATTGGGCCTAAAGCCCATTTCGAACTGGGCTGATTTGACCAGTTAAATGAGGGGTGAATTCTGAGATTAGATTAGCAGATTTAGAAACCTCCTAATGAGTAGGAGAGGGCTTATCTAATCTGCAGATAAGATAAGGGTTTACCCTTATCACTTGAAGGGAATTCTGATCCAAATATGATTTGGATCAACAACTCCTAATGGGATTAGGAGCTGATCCCTTTAAGATTATAAAAGGAGGAGGGGGCGGCAGCCTTTACACACAATTCACATTGTCTTTAGAGCTGAAATCACAGAAGAAAGAATTCAGTATCTCTGCTCTAATTCTTTCTTGTTGCCTCCTTCCTACCACCGCCATATCTGCCAGTTCGATCTCCTATTATCAATGGGAGTGATCAAGATTGGATCTTTATATCAGTCCTTTGTGAAATGGCTGATTGGGAGTCATGCTCACGTGTCGTCCAGCTGATTCTTGCGAAGGATCTGGTTCTTTTGAAGAACGTTGTTGATTCTGCTCCATCCTACACTGTGCCATCTTCAATGGGAGCAGTCTTTGGTTCCTTCCTTGGGCGTGAACACCTCTATTGGGAGATATTGTTTCTCCGTATTGGGTATATCCCTCTCCTACTATTTTTGTTTAGATCTGGTTCAGTTCTTTGTTCAAGATTGATCCTTGAAAAATACGATTTTTCTAAAATAGGGAATACGATTCCCAGTAGGTAGGAGAGAAATTTTTGAAATTCGCCCATTCTATTCCGCAAGATTTAGGCGTCCATACGATGGATCTCTCATCCTTTCAGACCATTCATTGAGAGCATCTAGAAGTAGTCATACCTTGGCTAGTTTGTAATTGGGTAACTAGTCTATTCTCACTCTGTACATATTTTTTGCGAGCCCTTTTCTTGCAAACCACCTGTGTCCATTTCGCTTCCACTTCTAACCCGACTTCGTCCTCAAATAAGGCACAGGAAAAACTTTGAGCTCTCTCAGTAATTTTATTAAGCAGCTCGGCATCAGAACTGAGGCCAGTATTGTACTCCCTACAAGAAAGCCTCTCATCCAATTCCAACTTGGATTGTTACAACTCCTCCAGACTCCAGATCCAGTCAGGTTTCCTAGACGAGAAAGAGATTGTCTCTAGACTGACTGGCCGAATAGGCTTCAAACTAATATCATCTTTAGAAGCAAAAGATGTCTGCACCCCCTCTACAAGTAATATCAATTGTTCTAGGATTTCATGTTGTTAATCCTAGATCTCTTTTGTGTTTGTGTTTTCTATCACTATAGCATTTGGGACCGTTGTTGGGGTTCTTCAAACTTGCTAGTAAACCTGCTTCAAAGTTTGTTCTTTCCTAGGTGCTTCAGGATTAACAAGCATTTTAGCTGAAGTGGGTTTAGACTTGGTGACTTCTCCCTCAGATTTCAAATTTCTCTTCAGTTTTAGTTTGCATTCCCCCTCACCATGACCATGTTTGAAGCAAAAAGTGCAATATTTGGGAAGGTTCTCATAAACAATTTTCTGCCAGAAACCTTCCTTGCTGAGCCCAACCCAAACACGACTAGGGTTTTCTTTCAGCAGATCCACCACCATGCAAACCCTACCTGCGGTTGTTCTGGTCAAACGAGCAGTAGCCGGATCAACTTTTAGCACCCTTCCTGCTACCTGCACAATTGATCGCAGGTACTTGTCATTGTAAAAATTAACTGGCAACATTGGTAGAAAATTCCAAAGAGGAACCACTAATGGTTCCCAACCTAACTCCAACCCAGGCGTCCATTTCAGAAATGTTAGCAGAAAATCCGTGATAATAATAGCCTGTCTCAGCCAAGCCCTAAGGTATTCCTCCTCACTTTCAAATCTAAGAAGCACATGTCTCGAATCTAATGCGGTGACCACAATGTCTTTTTGGAGTCTAAAAGTACCTACCAGAAATTCCCTAATATCCGCTAGGGAAGGACGACCATATGAACATTTTCCAACCAAAGCAAATTGGAGAGGGGAGAGAGATTTCTCAATATCTTCTTCTGAGAATAGTACCGTCGGTTCTCCCCATTTGATCGAAGGTACCTTCAAAGGAATATCCACCGCCGGTGGATCAAGAACCGCAAGAAAAGGATTCACGGCAGCAACAACCACCGAAGCAAAGGAAGGAGCACCTCGAGAATCTCTAGGCGGCTCCCCCATTTCGTCTTTCCAAGCTATGTATGTATTTAATATTCATTAGTTAGTTATGACATCATAGATTGACCCATTTGACCCGCAATGTTAGATCATTGACCCGCAATGTTAGATCATTGACCTACCTACCATCTAGATATGGAAATAGTTTCATTTCCAATCTAGTTTTAAATTTTTAATTTCTTTTATATCATTGATAAAATAATTATTATTTATCATACTTATTTTTGTTTATATTATTAGTACATAATATTATAGGTGTGCCCAAAATTGTTTCATATTTTTTTTGTACTACTCTATTTTAAAAAATTAACCTATTTGACCTAAAAGGTTGAACCACTAACCCACCCCTAGATAGGAAGATGGTTTAATTTCCCATCGATTTTAAGTTGTATATTTGATGTTCATCATTAATAAAATTATGTCTATTTTATCATAGTTATTTTTTAATATGATAAATATTTAATAATAGAAATGTGTCTAATTTTTTTTTTAATTTTTTTCTATATTTTTTGTATTTTTATATTTATAAATTTGTATTATATGTTTATGACATCATGAAATTATCCATTTGACCCAAATGGTTGAAGTATTTACCCACGACTTAGATGGAAAATATATATGGTTTCATTTCTAGGTTTATTTTAAAAATATTTATTGTGTATGGATTTATTAGTGGAATTTAATGATGATAAACAAAAGTATTTTTTATATTTCTAAATTTGTATTATTTATTTATGACATCATGAAATTTTCTATTTGACCCAAATGGTTGAACTACTTACCCACCACCTAAATGAAAAATATGATTTCACTTCTATGTTTATTTTAGAAATATAAAATTTCATTCTATTAATAATTATTGTATATGGATTTATTAGTGGAATTTAATGATGATAAATAAAGTATAAATGTTGGATTCAATGAGAGAAAATGTGATTTATTTAATGATTTAAATGTGAGACTTAATGAGAGGTAATTGAATGTACTTAATGGTATTCTTTTAATTACATTTTCTGCTCTTTCAATAGAGATAAACTAAATTCAAGAGGAGGGGTATTTCAGTAAAGAAAAATTCTAGAAGCCAATACCTCTTCATTCACACTTTTATAAGTGGTATATATATATATATAATTCAATCTGATCCAAAAAAACTGAAATGGTGATATCCAAATCCAACAAAATAGGATCGAACTTCGAATCAAATCTAATCATGATTGATCCATTTGCACCCGTAAGTCTGAATCATTTTTTCATGAATAGGAGGATTCATGGATGACCCCATATAGTTGGGATAAGACATTAGAGTGAAGACTTGGGATCAAATTCCATTGTCATTAGGGTTGGGTGTTAAGGGGAGCAGGATGGACTACCTTGTTTTGTAGCCCCATGAACGAAAAGAAAAAAGGATCTATATCTATGAATACTATTTGATGAAGGAGAATTTGGCCCGACCTCCTAACAGGGAGACACGTGGACGTGACTCCGCATAAGCGACAAGTCGACATGATTAGATTGACACATGGACGTGATTCAACACAGGTGACAACTCAGCATAAGTCAGCTCGCTACGAAGCGAGCTCGGGGACACTAGTGCCCCGAACTAAAGTCACTTCGGGCTAAGATTGTCCTGGTATCGGACCGCGACCAGGATAACGGAACCAAGTTCATTACAAGTCGAGCCCGGACAGATGTAACCACTTCGGTCAGGATTACTTCGGGACAAATATACCTAGGCACGAGCTTGAGAAGCTCGCTACCAATTAGCTCGCTATCAAGCAGCTCGGTGTCCTATAGGCAACTCGCCTACCATTCAGACCTCCACATGGCAACCTCGAGGAACACACCCTCATACTCTGGACCCTGTAGTACCGAACTTTATAACGGTAACATTAGTTCACCAACTCCCCGTTTTGACGGGAAGTGACAGTATTACCGTTAGGCGGCGTTTCAACCACCTAACACGCGACAGGTCTCATCGCAGCAGGGATTCAGTGACCGTTCCACCAACCCACCTAGGCCATAGTGTATAAAGACCCCGCCCCCCCGGGGTGAAGGTACGTTCTATTATTATTGTTGTGTGTGTAATCTTCACTCTCTAGCTCTCTTACTGTTATCATCTTCAAGCTCTCTACTATCACTGTGCTCTAACTTAGCCATCGGAGTATCCTCACCGGGTGAGCCACCCCGGGATCTCTGACTCATTTCTTTTAGGAACCTCATTCTCATCGTTGCCGGTATCCAGGTCATATCTAGCAGGGACTAGCCGGATTACACCACATCAATTGGCGCCGTCTGTGGGAATTTGCTACAAAAAGCCTTTCTATCTCCATTCCAAAAACCTAAAAACTCAAAAACCAAACCCATGGTTTCTTCTAGCAACGCCAGACAACACAGAGAAGCAAACATCTCTGGGGGGCAACCTCAGTTCCCAACTGTTTGTATAGGCCAGTTCACCATACCGCTCCCCGCGGGTGGGATCCCAGCACCTGCTGTACCTCAACCATTTGAGTCTGTGAACGCCCCACTTCCCCCTGTAGTGGGTGCAACCTCCGCTGAACCGTCCATAGTTCCCCCTGGAGTAGGACAAAACCAGCTAAGCGACCTGGTGTATTGCGTACGGGCTATTCAAGCTCAAATGCAGCAGGTCTAGCAGTTCCAGCAGTACCAACAACAAGTTCTGCATCACCTGTACTAGCAACAGTTCCCCCCGCTGCAGTAGAACCAGCAACCTACCCCGCCTCAGTGTCCAATCACCTCGAGCAAGCCTCACCGCCAAAGCAGCCATCCTGGCCAGGGGGAGACCTCCCAGGTCTCATCTTGCGGCAGGGGAGAAAGACAAGTCCCTCTGATTTCTCAACAAGTAAGCAGGTTGAGAGATACTCAACCCACCAAAATCAGTCCACCTCGACCTTCATGACCTGAAGGCACTCTTGCCAGAAACCGGTTCGAAGTCCTAGCTGAGGACTCCAGGCAGGGTGTTTCAGTCCATAGTAGCCGGCAGTCCGAATCACTCCCGACCAAAGCACCATCTGATAGTGCGGAGGTTAGCGGCATCACTATGGAACTAGTCGAGCAGTGGCAAAGGAGGCATGCTGGAGCACCCCGGGCAGTAAATCCCGGCCAGCTCGTGCGATCCAGCCGACTTGAGCAGTCTAAAGGTAAAATGGAGGTAAGCTCAGGAGTCACAAAACCGCTCCCCTACTCTCTGTACCCTCTCCACTATCCCCCGAGCTCCTGGCCTCCCCGATGCCGATGAACTTCAGGGTCCCCCCCTGGACAAGTATGACGGGTCTTTCGACCCAAATGACCACATAGATTTCTTTCAGTCCCAGATGCATCTCGCTGGGGCTGACGAAGCCTGCATGTGCGTCGCCTTCTCCACAACCTTCAAAGGAGTAGCCCACACTTGGTATAGTCCAGAGGGAAGGAGAGTCGATCCGAAGCTACATCAAACGCTTCAACGACACTTGCCTACTAATCTTGGACTTAGACCCAGCCATGAGACTCGACAGAGTTCCTTAAGCTCACCGATCAGTTCATCGGGACTGAGGAAGAAATGAACCAACAGAGTGAAGCCCCAACAGAGAAAAGAGAGAGGGAGGACCACAACTCAAACAACGATGGTGGCAAGAGAAAGAAAAGCAAGTCCCCCACCAGGGAGGGAACAGGTCAGACGATTCAGGGAGTTCGACCGATATCTTATTCAAAAGCACCTTCGACAAGCTACAACTTTGGGAGAGTGACCTCTAGCCCGCAAGTACTCCGTTAGTGGGCTTTAGTGGAGAAGAAGTCAGGCCTCTCACGAGAATCTGTTTAGCCGTGGAGGTAGGTACGTGGCCCAACATCGTGAGGTTTGAGCATACCTTCCTATTAATCGCAACTCCTTCCCTGTAAAATGCCAATATGGGGCAGCCTGTTATTCACGCACTTCGTGCGGTGGTATATACTTACTACCTAGCCATGAAGTTCCCCACAGACTTCGGGGTAGGGGTAGCTCGGGGCGACCAGCTCGAGTCTCGGAAGTGTTACGTTGCCGCTCTCAAAGGGAAAGCCATGCTAGCAGATGACCTCGAGTTAGAGTGACATGTGGAGTACTTCGAGGAGCGAGCTATGTCGACTGAAGGAACGATCCACATCCCAACCTCAATAGAAGATCCAGCCAGAACTCTCCAGATCGGAGCCACAATTGAAGAGTCTCTCCGCTCTCGGCTGGTAAGTTTTTTACTCAAGAATTTAGATGTGTTTGCATGGTACACGGCAGAAATGCCTGGTATAGATGCTAAGGTTATAACTCATAGGTTGAACACTGATCCTTTAGTCAGGGCAGTTAGATAGAAAAAATGCAAGCTAGCCTCGGAGCGCTAAAAGATAGTCGATGAGGAGGTTGGGAAACTCCTCACAGCCGATTTTATCAAGGAGGTCCACTACCCGAGCTGGGTGGCTAACCCCATTCTGGTAAAAAAAAGCCAACGGTAAATGGCGCATGTGCATCGATTACACCGACCTAAATCGAGCTTGCCTGAAGGATTGTTTCCCTCTCCTTAATATCGACCGTCTAGTGGACGCGACCTCAGGGCATGAGTTGCTGAGTTTTCTGAACGCATACTTGGGCTATAACCAGGTCAAGATGGATCCCGTTGACGAGGAAAAAACAGCATTCATAACCGAGCTAGGACTGTACTGTTACAAGGTTATGCCCTTTGAACTAAAAAATGCCGGGGCAACCTTTCAAAGACTTGTCAACAAACTTTTTGAGCCGTTGATCGGCGATAAGGTTGAATGCTAACTAGACGACATGGTCGTCAAAACCCAATTTTCAGAATGTTTAATAAGTGACTTGCAATGTGTTTTGAAATTCTGCGCAAGTATAGTATGAAGTGGAAACCTAGTAAGTGTGTCTTTGGGGTCACCTCGGGTAAATTCCTGGGTTACATAGTTAACTGGCGTTGAATCGTGGCAAACCTCGAAAAAATCAAGGCTATCCTAGAAATGAAGCCACCTCG